ACAAAGGTATAATATTATCTAAAAAATGCTTTTAAATAATTTTCAAGTTTATTTGTAACTATTATGTTGTTCTTCAAATTCAATGCAATATCTTTTAAAATTATGACTTCATATTACTTAAAATCGTGCAATTACTATGCAGATTATACATATTTTTCAATATAGAGACTAATTTTATATATTTATTTATAGAACAAAGTGCACATGGTTGGCACCCGCTGTAAGCATATTACAAAATTTTGTAGTTCACCAAAACCGACATTAAGATTTGCTGCAGTAAGAACATTGAACAAGGTGTTACATTTCAAACTTAACAAACTCAACCATGTATTTAAGTTGCAGTTAAAATTTTAACTTATTAATGGTTTGTTATAGGTGGCAATGACTCACCCAGCTGCTGTAACAGCTTGTAATTTAGATCTAGAGGGTCTAATTACTGATCCCAATCGTTCAGTTGCTACTCTCGCAATAACAACTTTGCTTAAAACTGGTGCTGAATCATCCTAGACAGACTTATGAAACAGATTGCTACATTTGTTTCCGAAATAAGTGATGATTCAAAATTGTGGTTGTTCAAGCTATTAGATCTCTCTGCATAAAATTCCCAAGAAAGCATGCCGTTTTGATGAATTTTCTAAGGCAATGTTGAGATGAGATTGAAGGTTACATTATTATCTAAATACATTTTCCTCTGATATATTTTTTCATGTTAAAATACTTATAGGCGGTTTGGTTTGGAATACAAAGTCTTCTATTGCTGACACTCTCATCACAATAATTGAAGAAAATCCTGAAGCAAAAAGAAACTGGATTAGCACATTTATGTGAATTTATAGAAGATTGTGAACATACTTCCTTGCTGTTAGAATTTTGCATTTACTTGGAAAGGAGGGACCCAGATCAAAACAGCCATCAAGGTGACCAAAAATATATTATATGGAAAAAATAAAAACTGGCTTGTAATGATGAAAATGAAAATATGATTTTTTTTAACAGATATATTAGATTCATATACAATCGGGTTATTTTAGAAAATGCACACTGTTAGAGCTGCAGCAGTTGCTGCAATGGCTCAATTTGGTGCTCTTTGTCCTGATCTATTGCCTAATATACAGGTATAAATAAAGTTGATTGCTAAGTAGCAATAATCAGTTTTATGTGGAAAATTGTTTCTGAAGCATGTCAGGTTTCTGCCAAAAAGAAAAAACACTAATTAATTATGCACTTAGATAGCACATGAAACTAAAATGGGTTAAGAAACTAATCATGTTTTATATTAATTATTGGATTATTAATACTGGGAATATTTCTGGGAAAAAATG